TCAGTTCTACAGGCCTTGTAGATGACAAATGTGTTTCTTTCTTTCAAAAATGATTTCCTAATGATTTATAGAAAAATCAAATTTTGGTCAAAATTTGATAATTTTGCAAGGCTAACCCCTTGCAGATTTTTTCAAAATTTTCACCTGACATTTTTTATCAAAAATGAGTTCTGCAGGCGTTGTAGATGACAAAAAATGTGTTTCTTTCCATTCAAAAATGATTTCCCAATGATTTGTAGAAAAATCAAATTTGGGTCAAAATTTGATAATTTTGCAAGGCTAACCCCTTGCAGATTCTTTCAAAATTTTCACCTGACATTTTTTATCAAAAATCAGTTCTACAGGCGTTGTAGATGACAAAAATGTGTTTCTTTTTATTCAAAAATGATTTCCTAATGATTTGTAGAAAAATCAAATTTGGGTCAAAATTTGATAATATTGCAAGGCTAACCCCTTGCAGATTTTTTCAAAATTTTCACCCAACATTTTTTTTTAACAAAAATGAGTTCTACAGGCCTTGTAGGTGACAAAAATGTTTCTTTTCATTCAAAAACGATTTGGTGTGAAGTTAGGTTTGGGGATAAAGTTCCTTAGCAATGCTAATCCCTTGCAGATTTTAATATTTCAGGACAACATTCCAGAATTTCCGTAAGATTTTTAAAAGTGCAAGGGTTGAACAAACTGAGACACAACTTTTTTTTTTTTTTTGCAACACACAATTTTTAATGTGAACTTGTTGCCCCTGCGGGCCAGACAGCCTTGCTACTGAACCATATACAATTCACGTACAAAGCATGGGCAGAAAAGCAGAACCCAAGTATACAGGCTGCCAACAGCCGGGAAATTTACTTCCAAGCAAGTTTACTCATCAAGGAAAACTGTCTTGGGAGCCTGTTACATGCAACACTAAATAAGGGTGTGACCAGGCTGAGCAGGGTGCTTGGCAGATCTGTGCCCTCCTCCACAATAAGCAACATACAGTACACACGGCAATTTTTTTTTCCAAGGACAGAGCCGGGCATTTCTCAAACCTGGCATTCAAATATGACGACGGCTGGATGTTGACCCTTCCAATTTTTCCTAAATTGTTCATGATTAAGACAAAAACAAATGAATGTTCGGTATACAGCGCCAAAGGTCGTGAGATAAGGTAAGACGAATTTGCATAAGGGTCACTGGTTAAATCATCTATGCCAAATGTATTGCCCAACAAAGAGCTAGGAGTGAACCCAAAGAAATCTATGCTGAAAGTTTGTGTGGGTCTCTCTCGAACTCGTAGATTTCATAGCAGCTCTAATAGTTGGTCTTGAGATGTACAGACAAGCAAGGGTAACAGAGCAATGCATGTAACTTCTACACATTTCAAATGCCACTCCATTCACCATCAGAGAAGTGGCTCTGATTAGATTAAGAACATTTTGCAGGTACTGGTCATCAGAGATTACAATATATAATTCTGAAATTATACATGTAACGAAGACCAAAGAATTTATATAAACCAAATATTAGCCAATAAAGTGTCCAGCTCTGAATTTCACCATAATTCCAAGTATTCAGCATGGCAAGGCATTCGAACTCTTGCAATAACTGATTCTGGCATTTGGGCAATTCCATGTACTCGCCAAGATTCGTTTCAGTTTTCCCTGTTGCCTATGTCAAGCTCTTCTCTTGTAACAAGAATTTGGGGGGACAGATGAAAACAAACTTTCAAACACAACTGGAATAGGAGAATTCTTTTCCAAGGATGCTGAGAAACTGCTATTTTCTCTGAAAAATCCCAACTTTTAAAGTCAAATATGTTCCTTTGTTGGTTCTCCGTTTTTCCTAACAAATTGTCAAACTTAACACGAACACAATTAAACTTTTTACATGAAAATACTTCCTCATTAAACACTTTTGTTTCAATAATGCCATAAATACTATTTCCTCTTGTCTTTGTGGGGAAAAAGAGAGATCTTTTTCCTACAATCTGCAAGCAAAATAAAAATTCATTCTGCAACATTTTGATATTTTGTCACAACAGGGATGTTGTTTCAACTAATTAAAACAGCTACTCCATACATTTCCAGGGATGGTATACCTCAGTACAATTATTTTTAAATAATTTAAGTTTAACCTTGACATCTGAAGATTTGTTTTCCATTGGGTGGAAAGTGCTTTAGTCCCCGTATCTGGTAATAAAATCAACACAATTTCATCTTCAAAGAGCTGTGACACCGATCAATTTCAATTTTGGACCAAGAAATATGTTGTCCATGCTGAACACTGGAAAGTTTCAAAACAGAAAACAGGTTACTTTCGTGAATCACGGAAGACCCTGGGGTATCTTTGTGTACGTGCTTCAGACGTGAGATGCAAAACAAGACACACGTGAAACTACAACGATCACAAAGAACCAGACTTCACCAAATGAATGAAAGCACCTGTCATAGTTGCTGAATCCAGTAGAAGACACACTATTGGTCAATAAGAAGGAATTACAGCCAAAATGGACACTGTATGCGGGTCTTTTTAACATGTCTTTGCCTTTTGTCCGAAATCCTCATTTTTTCGGACTAGAATTGGCAACAGGTGATCTGGCATCAGATCAAAGTTATTGTTTGTCATCTTCAATTTTGACAACCGCAGAAAATGTTTACCAAAGCAACACACAACACAAGTCAACTGAATGGTCGCCCGATCACCGTGCACTTTCCTGAAAAATCTGCGGAGTATGCGAAGAGAAAAATGGAAAAGTGGACGACGGGTCGGGGTCATATCTTGCCACTGTAAGTGCTGCCTTGTGCTCGTTGTGTACTGCCAACCTTGTACACTCCGCTTCTGCTCTACTAAAAAGCACATTCAATGACAACAATGTCTCGCGCGAGAGACAGACAAAAAAACCAATTAAGCAATGTAATGGCAAAAAATAGCAATACTTTTCTTCTTTTTGAACACGCCACAACCGCTCGATGTGGACTAGACGTTAGACAAAGCACATGGTCAAATACATACGACAGCCACTGGTGGGGACACCAGGCTGTCTCGGTTAGTTTATCTGAAGAGCGCCCATTTTTTAATACAGTACTACATTACTCGACAGTCTAACGAGAGCGAAATAGAGAGCACGGCATCAGGTAAGGAACAAAAGGTACCAGACCCATGCCTGGCCACTGGCTTTTAAACAAACGAACAGTTTATACTGAGTTAATTTTTAAGCACCACGTACAACAGAGCATGTGTCATGGACAAGGGACCACAACCAAAGAAATATACATCAAGAATCAAGATTAAGGCTCTATGATTTGATAATCTTGTTGAGTGTCACGAGGTTTTCTAGCCTAGAATTGGTTTCATCAGGTTCGATGCCTGCAGCTGTTTTATCATAGTCACTGAAGTTACCAAAGGGTGATGATAAAGATTGGTTGCTCTGAAACAGTCCTGACTGTTATTGCTAGGGCCTGTCCTTCTCCATGTCTAATTCCTATCCCCTATCCATTTCTTATTCCTTTCAAGTCATACACTTGCCTCCTGATCAGTCGGGTCTGATCAGGTGTCGGCACCGTGCCTCAGTAAGTACCCTCCAAGCAAGCCAGTGGCCAGGTAAATTGCTGTCATCATGCATCATATTGCTGGGCAATGCTCGCCGCTGGCAGACCAAGATAAAGTTCTTTGCCAGTGTTGGTGATTGGAACAAAGTGTTACATTTCCAATGATCGGTCTAGTCTCAGTAACTGGTCTCTCAGTGTTAGGCGGACCAGATCCACGGTGAACGTTAATATTGCAAACAGAGAAACAGCAACCGGATTCCTGGAGAACCGCTACTCAGTTTGAACAAAATCCCGATCTGGAAACCATAGTTTTTGGAAATGGCCACTTGTTCTTCATGCATGTTGATATCAAAAGTCTGAATATCCACAAAGGGTTGCTGTTTCCACCTGCCGCACAATGTATTTAGCATGAATAAGTCAACTGAGTTACTTCATAGTGGTAGTGAACTTTGAAAACATGGACAGCACTGCCCAACAACACAGATGTAAGTTAAGTGTTAACGACTATCGGTTCTAAATGCCCTTGCACAATCCTATCCATACCCCTGCTCTCCTGGTTTTTTTTAAACTCTCTAGTTGCTCTTGGGCCTGTACACAGCCGCATTGGGGTCTAGGACTGACTTCCCATTCCCGACGCTCGGCACGGGGCTGACCGAGGGTGAGGGCGACTGGGAGGAAGAAGAACCCTGCGGGACGGACACCGGGGTGGAGGAGGCTGATGCCCCAGTGGGGGCTGCACCCGGGGCCACACCCAGGGCCACGCCTGGGGGCACGCTCTGGGATACCGGAATGGCCCGGGCATCGCCGCCGGTGCCGCCATGAGCCAGTGAACTGATGGGCAGGGTGGGGCCCGACTCCTCCGAGCTGACAAAGTTAACGGAGTACCGAGGCGTGCCCGAGATCGGAGAGCCCGCACTTGAGTAGTTACTGGGCGGCATGACGGCCATCACCTCAGCTATCTTAGTCTTGAGGTCATGGATCTCGCGCTCCTTCTTCATCAATTGGGCTGCAAAGGAGACGACACAGAAAGATAAAAATTTTTTTAAATTTTTGCTTTTTCTTAATCATTCTCTGAAAGTTTCCCAATGGAGATGTATATATTGACAATCACGTGCAAATGATTTCACAGCAAGGTATCTCCTACATATGTACAAGAAGATATCCAAAGCGCAGTGAAACAGCGACACCTTTGAGGCCAAGTTTTGTAAAACTCTGTAAAACAAATCTCCTCAACAGGAAACTTTCCGGCAAATCTTAAAATCCTCCATCGACGAGGAATGTTTCCCCACACAAGAAGGTCTGATTTCATTTGATAGGGGGACTCGCGTAAGGACTCACTCTGAAGAATTTCCATCTGCCGACGAGCGTCCCCCAGGGCGGAGAAGAGGTCCAACTTGAGGCGGGTCTCGGCACTCAGGCTGGTCTCCAGCTTGGCTGTCCGGTCCTGCATGGCCATCAGCGCAGACATGAGCAGATCTGTCTTGTTCTGTGTTTCCTGCCGCTCTTGCAGTAGCTGCAAAGTTTCAAAACAAAAAAAACAAAAAAAGATGACCATGAACGCTCTCTTTTTTGATTCATAAATTTTTAACCCCGTGATGGTAAAACTGCCGGAGTCGTTCCTGATTTTAATGAAAATCGGACATAACCTTCTGACAAAATGTTCATTTTTAAAGGACAGGTGAGCCAGAAGATTCAACTTTTCCCCTTGACATGCTCAGTGCATAGGATGACAAACATGAGAAAGTGAATTATAAATGTCCAGAAGAAAAACCTGTCGGACTAAATTAACACTTTACAGATGTTCTCAAACTACATGTAGATACTTTTACATGTGTCTAAGTTTGAAAAGACTGGTTGTGGGACAGCCCACACTGTACCTAACTTGATTAAGAAAGCTAAAGCAGAACTCTTACAAGCCATGTTTGAAGTTCGCTATACTCAGCATATCTTTTATGAAACATTGTTTTAACTTAAATACACCCATTCAAATTCTTACGCAAATCCACTTCTCACTCCCTGGCACCAATATCGACATACCTCGGTCTTCTTCTCCATTTCTCTGAGGTGGTCATCCTTGTCACGTGACTCCTTGCGTAGACGGAGGATCTCCGAGTCCTGGTCCAGCATCCTCATGCGACAGGAGTCACCGCACTCACCGTATCTGAGTGGAAATGAAGTCCAAGTCACATTGATGACAAAAAAAAAATATGCCCAAGTTTTTACCTCGTCACAGGCAGCCAACTTCACAAAAATTAAGACAGGTGTACAGCCCAATTTGCAAAGGTTTGTCTTTATTTCCAACTGTGCTGCGACCTAAAACAATAAAGTGGCAGAAAATATAACATAAAGCCTTACAAACACATCAAATACCAAAGTAAAGATACATTTACAGCACAACTGCAGACACATGGGAGCAGTACCGGCCTACAGCATAAGGAGCATCAAACACTGCCGTCAATAATTTGACATCCAATAAAACTTACAAAAAATGCCGCAATGAAATCCACCTCATTAATTTCAAACCAGGACACAACTTTGCCCCTTCAAAGATATAAACAATACATTGAAGTTCTCCAAACAATTTGATTTTAAACCGCTCTTTCCGGCCAGTTCTGCAAATAATCCCAGTATGCACAGGGATGAAAATTTTCTGAGCATCAATGAAAATTTGCACAATTTTGAGGCGATGGGTTACGTACCGGCCAGCGGTAGCCATAGCCGCTGCTCGGGCTGCGGCTGCCTCCTTGGCTTTACGGGTCTTGCGCTCCTCCCGGATCTGAGCCTCCAGTGAGGACCTCGACTCCCGCTCTGTCTTGAGCTGCTGCTCCAGCCGGGCGATGTTCTGCTTGTCCTGCTGCTTCTGGGTGACCAGGTTATGAAGCCTGCCGCAAGGGAAATGAAGGAAAATGAAAGTGGAACAATGAAGTGATGAGTGACTAAGCGCTGAGTGACTAGAAGGCACTCAAGCCATTTCTCGAGCCCCGGCTTTAACTCTGGTTATGGCTTAATCTCCATTTTCATGCTGTTAGAAGCCTTTGATGTTTGAACCAAACACACTAAACTTCGACCAAACCTCACATGGATTTACACCCACTGAAGAAAACAGACGTACACTTAGTCCATGTCTCCAAATTTAAGGGCCTCAAATTGTGAGCTGTAGCCTCAAGCTTAAATCAGAGATGTGACGATTCAGAAAACCTCAACAAAACCAAGTAACTCTACGCACTGTAACCTTGTTATGTATTTGAATTTGGGAAGAATTTGACCATTTTTCTAAAATGAGTGCCTGTTCTTAAACAGGCCGCATGAGAGAGGCTAGAGAACTCTAGACGGTCTGGTTCTGGTCACTCTACTAAATCTGGCGTTACCAGTCACATTAATGAACAAGCTACATTTGAAACGCAAATGGTGCAATATTTTGTTTCCGACTGCACTAATTCTACCAAGGGAACAAACTGGGATTCAAATTTGTGCCAATTAAAATGGTCTCAACAAGCTCCCAAGTTGACTGTCATGTTGGCAGTGTACCCAAAGTAAGATGGTAAGATCTACTTGGGAAGTTTCCTTGGAAATTTCTGGGCTTGAAACAGCTCACTAAACACCTACAAAATCCATGGCTTCTGACAAGGTTAAGAGACAGGTTTGTGATGAGCTTACTTGGTCTGGAGAGACTCGTAGTCCTTCTTCATCTGCTCCAGCTCAGCTTTGTCGTGCTGGTCGTCTGACAGAAGGTTGCTGACCTGCGCCCTGAGATCAGCCTGGACCTGGCGGCTTGCCTGAAGATCAGCCTTCAGTCTCTTGATGTCGGACTCCAACCTGATGGTAAACGGAGAAAAGGGAAAAAACACACGTTTGAAGCTGGGTCGACCTCAGTCCCCGAAATCTGCCCCGGGACCAAACACATGTCTCTGAAGCATCTCCCCTAAACCACTGGCAGAAAACATTACACTACAGTTTGCAAGACTCCTCGGTTTAGGTGGTAATCATCTTCTGCGCACATGTTCTTATCCTGTCCTGATGGATCCCACTTTTGCAAGACTAGTACTAAACAACCATCACAGGGTTGCGATTGATGTCATGTGCATTTAGAATTCAGTGACCGGCAAAGAAATGGGATAGGTCTAAGTTTGTTATCCATGTCTGCAGATACATGTTGGCACAAACATGACCACATGAAGACACAGAGTCTTCACAAGTCCCTTGCTGTGAGAGCCATTCTACAAAACCTTTCAGCCTTCCCAGGAAACAGCCAGGATGCGCACAATGAGGGGTGTCAGGTCAACTCGCTTCCTGACCGACCTACCCCTTACCAACTCGCCCCCCGGTCAACTCGCCCCCTGACCGACTCACCCCTTACCGACCCGCCCCCTGACCGACTCGCTCCTTACCGACTCGCCCCTTACCAACTCGCCCCCTGACCGACTCAGCCCTTACCAACTTGCCCCCGGCCGACTCGCCCCCTGACCGACTCGCCCCCTAGGAAAGTCAAGCAAGTATGGCCGGCCCAATGTGTTTAAAAAAACCCGAATGGTTCTAACCATCGACGCAACAAGAACGGCTCACAGACGGTGATGGATATTTGGACATCACCACTAATCACTTATTTATTCAAACATCCTAGTGCTTCCCACGTCCACTGTCTGATTAGGTTATTTGTACATCCAACATAACCTCAGGATCAACAACTTTGAACCCTCCGTCCCATTAACATTTGGGTATGTGACTGAGGTCCGCAGAAGGGACGCAGCTGGACAGATGGCCCATACACACAATAATACTGAATTAGTTTTATCAATATCTAAAAAAAAAAAATTTTACCCCAAATTCCACAGAAAGTAAACATCCAGCAAGCTTTTAAACAGTTTAACTTTCATAATTCTCAACTTTGAGTGCCCACTGCAAACCCCAGAACCTAAGTTTTTACGGGCAGCAATCACTGATTCCATCTCTGACTGATAGTGTTTTGTTTATTAAATGGTGAATGGGCCGGCCATACTTGCTTGGCAAACTTAGGGGGGCGAGTTAGCCAGGTGGCGAGTCGGTCAGGGGGCAAGTGGGTCAGGGGGCGAGTTGGCTAGGGGGCGAGTTGGCAAGGGGCGAGTCGGCCAGGGGGCGAGTTAACCTACAATCCAATGAGGAAATCAGTTGATCAAAGGCCGGCTGAAAAACGAGACAACCTTAAAAACTTCACAGAGAACACTGGAGTGGTATAACGAATGGTTGTTTCCACAGAGAACACCAGGACATCAAATGCTACAACATCTCCTACGGCAAAGGTGTGGAAGCCGCATGCACGCACACACACTCTCCATTACCTCAACACTTTCTCATCTTTGGCCGGAGGCGCAGGCACCGCCCCATTTGCGATATCCGCACTCAGGTTTGTGTCCTTCTCTTTCTCTTTGTTTTCCAGCTTGGAGGCCAGCGGCTTAGGCTTCTTGCCGCCACCGCCGGGGTGGGGAAGTGACGACCCACTGTTGTCCTGCTTCCCCGAGGGTGGATTCTTGCTGCGTTGGCTCCCCCCACCACCACTGCCGCCCGAGCCCCCGCCCGAGGCATTCTGTCTCAAGTTCTTGGCCTGCACCTGCTCGTTGGCAAGGTTCTCCTTGGACCCGTCGTAATCGTTCACGCTGCGCTGGGGCAGCTTAGTCTCTATCAACTCGGGGTCCGCAGGGGCTTTGGCTGTGCCCACCGTGGCGTTGTTGCTTGTGGCCTGCTTGCGCGATGGTGGGGGCTCCTTTGCCTTGTCACCACCGTCCGATGAACCCTTATTTCCTTGGATAACAGGTGAGCCTTTCCTGGCTACCACTCCGTTAGACGAGGGCTCCTCTGCTTTAGAGGTTATCGCTGTAGAAAAAAGAGTCAATCAAAGAGTTCAAAAGATACAAACAGAAAAAGGAACACTGCTTGCACATTTTGCATTGCTGTACGTTAAAGAAAGATGCCTGAACAGATGTCAGTCTGACATTCGAAAAAACATTACCCTAGCACAGAGGGAACTTGTTCACGAGCAGATCCAAACCAACTCAGAGCTGTAGCTCCAAACTAGTGGTGTGCATCTTTGGGTAACAAGGGGAGCTTGGTACTCTATCAAAGTAACACATTGTGCCAAACACAGAAACCTCATTCTAAAATCCCAGACAAAAGTGTGCCCGAAAATGCATTCAATTCAAGTATCAATTAAATCTTACCCAACCCTGTCATCAACACCTTTGGGCATAAACATGAAATCTGTTTTAGCATTCCGTGTAGCCTGGTCTTCCATTTTGAAATTTGCCTTACGCGCAGATACCCTTGCAGATGCACACTTTACGAAGTACCGAGGCGTGATGTCAGTTGCCACGGTGATGGTTCTACACAGTAACTAGTCCTGTGCAACGTTCGTTGCAAAGGCACAAGGATACGGCTGAGTGACTTTTGTGTGGAACCATCACCTTGGCAACTCACAAAAGACGACATACTTACTTCAGCTCTCGACACCCCTGGGAGAAGACAGGTCATTGCCACAAAGTATCCTACCCAAGAACACAAGCATCGCGGTACCCATGGGGTCCAAACCTACACACCGCTGCCCACGAGTTGAAGACCAGAACCACTGGACAACAGCATTCTTCACACAAAGACAAGGACAGACTACAAGTCATACCTTTTTGCTTCTCTGTCGTCAGCGAGGTGTTCTGCAGCTGATGATGTTGCTGCTGCTCTGGGGGCAAGGCTTGCTGCAGGAGCTGAATGTAAAAATCGTTTTCTTTCTGTACCTCTTTCTGCTTCCGAAGCCTCATCCGGTAGCCCACGTATGTTTTAAAATTGAAACCGAGCGTGACCACTGGATAACCAATGCTGCAAAGAAACAAAAATATAGAGTCGGAGAACTCCAAAGCACGTCCTAAATGGCAATTTTTTTTTAGTTAAAGGTTAAACTCGTTTTTATTAACTTATGCAAATGAACTATTGCAAAACTGCAAAATACAGATAACAATGTGAAATCCTTAAGTATACAATGAACAGTGCAAAGACTTTATCATAAAAATACAACAATCATCAATATTCTGGGAAAATTGAAGATAAATAGAATTGTTCATACATGCACAAGTGGACTTTTAATCTTAGACACTGGTTTGCGTTTAATTTATAACAACCATCAGGCAAATTAGGAAGCCCAGTGCAAAGTTCTACCTGACATCTGGCTTTGTTTGATGTTTACATGTACATCTTAAAGGCCCGTCATTTTGATAGACATTGGGCAATTTATTGTAAGTTGACTTGAGAAGACGGGCACATAAGCCCCAACCATCCTCAATCCTTTGAACTCCTCCGGGCGGTTTTGGAGGATTTCTGGAGGATTGCGACTGCATGGCAAAATTGCATTGCTGATTGTGAAGGATGCATTGTCTCCAAGTTGTGGGTTTGACCATGTGTTGCTTATGGTCAGCCGTGCATAAATTCACACCCACATCATGTGTGAAATCCTCCATACTGCTCCAGGATTCCATTCACTCTGCATCATCATCATGAGAGGAATTGGCGGAGGACTTCGAGGGATTGAGGTAGTGGGCACCTCTCCACAGAACATATTCAAGAACTATTGGAGGATTTTGTAGGACTGAAGCTGTATCCAGTTTTTTCACGGGGACACTTGGGATTCTGAGGGACTGAGGGTGTATCCGAGCCACAAGGGCCTAGGCAATTAGGGTTAGGGAAGCTCTGGGAAAAAGTTGAAAGGAGGGAGACAGGGCACGTACCAGTGTGCTGCAAACGGTCGACAGAGGTCAAGATGGAACGGTATCGCCGATCTTAGCTCCCGCAACCGCACTGACGCCTCGATGTAGACAAAGAGTAGCCATAGCGACACCGTGGGCAGACATATACCTCGATCTACGACGAGGGGAAAAGGAAGACCAAGCAACTATGTTGGAATACGATATGGATTGTTCACCAGCTTCATATTATTTCTTCAGCACAAGGTATGAGACCTTCAGGGCCTATGGAATAGAGATGTTACACCAAACATTTGATTTGGCAGTTATCAAAATGGCAGCCCGGACTGATGGATGAATCTTCCGTGGTCCTACACACTGATGTATTGTCTGATTATGAAAACTCAATAGCTCAATGGACCGTTTGGACAACTGATGTTGAATGGCTTCGTCTGTCACAATGTCCATGCACAGGTGGATTTGGGAGGACTTGCGTATCACATTTTAAACCCAATGTACTGCAAACCACTTGTAAATTCTTGCTGGAGGTAAAAACCACCATGGGTTTAATACATACAAGTAATGTGTTCCAAGTTCACATTTTTTTGCTGAAAAAACTTAAAAACAGTAAGGTGTCAGCCAAACTTTCCCAGGGACATCACTCCAGGTTCTGTGCCCGAGAACAACATGGACAAATCTATAGTATGTAAACAGCAGTAACCTTACTTACCAAGAGTAACTCGTTATTTCATTTAAATCCAGCCACATGGCAAGCTTTTCTCGAAATATCTATTTTGAGTATAAATATTACTCTGTTAGCAATTAAATGAATCCATTTGCAGGCTATTTCTTGGATGGATTTGTTGTTTGGGGTACCTGCTGCTATATCTGATTCGAACCAGCCAGCTGACACCGGCAAACTCGGTGGTCGAGTGGTTAAGATGCACTAGTAAACAGGAGGGTGTGGGTTAGAGTCCCACCGGAGTAAGCTTGTGGATTTTTTCACAAGCCTTCAGTGGCATACACTGAGTATACAGTGTTAAAAAAAACGTCGGGCAGAGAAAAAATCCATAATTAATTGACCATTTGCAGGCTGCCAAAAGGCATTCAAACCAAAACAGCATTATCGAAAATTAATGTTAGGGAAAATCTCGGGCAAGTGCACATACATGTACTTGTATATGTACCTGTACCTTTGTACACAGGCCTACACGAGTATATGTACATGTGCATGAATATGCTCGATATAAATGCCAGATACATGTACATGCATGTACATTAGCTCACAGCCAACCTGTGCCACACGACGGCAGATGCTGACTGCCAACTGCCCAATTCTATTACGTGCGCTAGTTGAGTGACGAGCACAGAGACCTTAAGGGATTTAAACGACGGCAACCGACAATCCCACCTGGGGATCACTCTTAATCACATCTGGCCGGGGAGGATGCGGTGGTTGCCATGGCAACGGTGCAATTTGTCCCTGCGAGGACAAAGCAATAACAGTATTTTGTTTCTTTGCAATCGTTAGCATACTGTTTAGAGTAATTAGTGCCACAAAAGGCGCGTGAGGTTGTCACATGGATACCAGCTCAAGCTCTCGAGCTGAATCACAGATAATGAAATTCAATTTGAAGTGAAGCCTGTCAAGTATATGAAGCAATAAATTGAACGCATGGATACTGAACAGGAACATGGCTTGTATTAAGCTGTCATTTAGAGAACACAGAACATCATTTCCAAAGTGAAACACCAGTAAACTATGCTAATAAAGTGGCCATATAAAATAACAGAACAGAAAAGGTTTATTTCAAAGAACTATGTTAATGAAAAGCCCCTTCAAAGTCTCAATGATCCCGAGGGCCAATTCGAAATTCCTTGTTTTGAAATATAATCAGCAAAGTATGTACAAGTACCATGCATGTCCATGTACCAGTACGTATGTTGCTTGATTACAAAATGTACAAAGCTCTGTGCGGTAAGGGATATTTTTGTCTATCCATTAAAACTGACATGCTAACATGCAGGTCCATGTACATTACTAGTACAGTGTGACGTGCAATGCGGTACGGCAGTAGTATACATGTACATGTATTCACCGTACCTAACATTATCCATGCTGAGATTAAATTCATATCAACCACCTCATCATATAAAGGGAAACATCCAGTACATGTTTGATCATCAGCGGTAGAATGGTGTAAATTATATACATGTACTGCAGGTGTACCCTTGCATCGACTTGCATTACAATGTACATGTACATGTTTAATTTACACTGTATTCTCAATGTTACGAAAACAAAATCATAAGCCTACTCGGGTGGGATTTTGCAAGACATCTGCTCCACATGTGACAGACTAAGAATGTGGTTCAGATTCTCAGGAACACCTCCTTAGTACATGTAAATGTCCACACACAAATTTCATCTTGAGAGAGAGAGCTACTTGTACTTTATACCAATTTTTTCAGTCTAAGTTACAAAAATCACAGGGACCTGAAACTGACAGGCCTACCGGTACATACATGTACGCATATGCTTCAGACTGGAACATTTGTAGGAGCCCTGAACACAATGATACTCAGTGGTCCATGTCCGAGTCTGATGGTCAACCGATTAACAACAGGCACTGCAACAAGTTGACGATATTGATTTATTTCATGCTACTTTCAATGTATACAATTTGTGCACATTACAATGTACTTCCTGGTTTATGCATCTGTGAAACGCAAACCACATGAACTGAACGTGGCCAAACTTAGGCTGAGAGTACAAAAAAAAGCTGAAAATGCATGTACATAGGCTCTGTGTTCCCCCCCTGTGAGGTTATGGCGGCACTGTGCAATGAAAAGAACACTATTCAGAATCTTTGTACGAGCACGAGATGTGAACCAGAGGAATCTGTCATAATCTACTTCATGCCCGCACTTGTCGGCATGCACATGGGTAATGCCAGAAATTAGGCGTCCACTTCCTTTCATGTCCCTGTCATATCTGACATACGATTTTGTAAGTTCAGAAAACATTTTCTAATTTCCAAGACTGATGAATGAATGCAAATTATCTGCTAAACAAATAGCAATAGTTTGAAATCATTTTCCGGTGATATTTCCATGTCAAATAACAAAGGTCAGATGTAGCCGGGACACAAAAATGTCACACTTTTGGACCCCGACTTTCTGAAATGACCCACATGGACCGTATTGTGGGGAACTTATTTGAGGACAAGCAAACCCTGTTTCAAGAATACTCTCCTCAGGAGTCGCATTTCATAAATAACGGGACCGCAGAGCCAGTAACCTTAAAATTTACTGCACCAAAACACATGTCACAAGACCAACACGCTAAACAAAAGAGATCATAAACCACTGGTTTATGTCAACTGACTTTTTAATTTTATTGAATACAAAATCCTAGACTGCCGGGCTTGTACAGGTCTAGAGGATGCAAGGCCAATGTCAAAATAACTGGCCTCAGTCCGCCGGTTCAGTGAATCTTTCAAACCCTGCAGCACTCGACCCACAGAAAAAAAAAACGGCCGCTGGTGTTGGGCTAGGACTTCAAATACATTTGTAAAAAAGAAACACAGCACGTACCGGTGTGCGAGACAAACTCCACCCAGACGTAGGTGCTGGCAACAAAGAAGAGCCAGTGCACCGGGATGAACAGGAGGCAGATCATGTCGGAGGTGAAGGCGATGAAGATGAAGACCACAGAGAACGCCTGGCCGAGAGAGAGCGAGTGTGGGAGGAAAAAACAGGTGTACTTTTGATTAAACTGTACAAAATGTGGCGGGGAAGATGGGGTGGACGGGGAAGCTGGGCTGGGCGGGGAAGCCAGTGGATGGAGCAGCATATTTGACCAGAAGAGATCCCCATTATCTGGTAGAAGTGCTTTCCATCTTTAATTTCATACATACACGTACGTGTAGCCTTTATTACATTTTTAGCTGATACCTTACACATGTACGTGCACCTGGCTTTTGATCGTTTTGTTCTCTTGCAGTGTTATTTTTGTTTGCACGCTGGATGTTGGAAAAGTTACAAGTGGCCTTTTTCCTGATCATGTTTTGTAAAAAGTAGTCACAGACAAATCCAGTCTCAAGTCTGAAAATACAGACCCTTGCATAATACGATGGGATTGAAGATCTCTATGGCACAGCAATTAATTTTAAAAAATTCCACAGGTCTTCCCAACTCTGAGAACCTGCTGTTGTACACATTACAGTGCTAAACAGATAATAATTTTGTCCTTGGAAAGCACCGATTGGATATAATCATCATCCCTGCCCCTGCTCACAGCTGAACCTTCCTCC